GCTGCTGGAGCTGCTGCTGGGAATGCTGCGCCGTCGCCGTGCCACCACGGTGGGAACCGCGGGCACCGGGAGGGCGCGGGGGCACCGCTGAGTCCCGCTGTGCCCATCGCCTCTGCTCTCCTCCCAGCCCCATCCCCACGGAGAGACCCCCGAGGCGGCCGCGGGGGTCCCGGCCGCGCTGCCAGGCGGTAAGACCCCCCCCACCCCCCGGCGCCGTCGCACCGACACCGTCGCACCTCGTGCGCCCCTCTCCACCCGCAGGCGCCGAGCTGCGCTGCCTGACGGCCCCGGCGGTGGAGGCGGAACCCGAGGCCCCCCCCGGGCCCCACCACGGACACTCCCACGGCCCCGCTTTGCCCCCCAATCCCGCGGCCGCCGATCTGGCGTGGATGGTGGTGCTGGGAGACGGCATCCACAACCTGACCGACGGGCTGGCCATCGGTGGGCAGCGGGGGGGCTGCGGGTGGTGGCGGGGCGGGCACGAGGGGATGAGGACGCACGGGAGGTGCGAGGAGGCGAAGGGACGGGAGCACGGGGGCAGGGGTGCGCGGGGGGATGCGAAACGCGGTGGGGACGCGGGGCTGAGCGCTCCGACACGGAGCTCCCCTCTTCCCGCAGGCGTTGCCTTCTCCCACAGCCTCCCCAGCGGCCTCAGCACCGCGCTGGCAGTGCTGTGCCACGAGCTGCCCCACGAGCTGGGTAAGGGCTCAGCGCCCCCCCCCGCCCCCAGCCCCCCCCCCGGACCCCTCACCCCACGCCCACCCTCCTCTCCCCGCAGGTGACCTCGCGGTGCTGCTGCAGGCAGGCACGGCGCCCCGCACCCTCCTGCTGCTCAACCTGCTCTCGGCGCTGCTCTCCTGCCTGGGGGCGGCCGTGGGGGCGGCCGTGGGGCAGAACGCGGCCCATCTCACCCCGTGGATCCTCACCGCCACCGCCGGCACCTTCCTGTACGTGGCTCTGGCTGACATGGTAAGGGCCGGCGGGGCTGCGGGCGGGGGGCCGAGCTGCGCCCCACTGAGCCCCCGCTCCGCCCCAGCTCCCCGAGGTGCTGCGGGGTCCCGGCGGGGGGACGTGGGGCCGCTTCGTGCTGCAGAACGCGGGCTTCCTGCTGGGCAGCGGCATCATGCTGGGCATCGCGTTGGCCGAGGGCCACCTCAGCGCCTGGCTGCAGCCCTGAGGGGGCGGCCCCCGTGAGCCCCCGCCCCGCTGGGACCCCCAGCACCCAGCCCCGGCTTCGGACTTTCTCCCCTCCTCGTGGGACCCCTCTGCCAACCCAGATGAAATGCAGCCAATCGCGGGGGCTCCGTGGGTCGCAGCTGCCAGACCCCGACTCCGCGTCCCCGTGGGGGGGGGGGGGCGGCAGGACGACGCTGGGCCCCCACCCCTCTTTGGTGGCGCTGCAGAGCTGCGGGTCTGGCGGCGCCGGCGTCGAAAGGAACGCGTTCCCCTGCCTGAGAAAGGACAGCAGAAGAGGCGTAGAAGCAATAGCATTTAATAAACATACTCGATTCAAAGCCACAATATGAATAACAGGACTTGGTCGCAGCTTACATTGTATAAAATAGATCAAGTCTGAATGCGTTTTATTTTATTCCTTTTTTTCCCCCCCTTTTTTTTTTCGTTATTTGTTTTTTCTGCTGTGGTTCCTTCACTCCCTCCCTCCCCCCATCCCTCCCCCAAAGGTGATGCATCCATGGGACATCTGAGACGAAAGGAACTGCTCACAATGCTCAGCACGGGGACGGGGCCGTGGGGCGGCGTGGGGCACAGCTCTGTGCTCTTCCTACAGCCGGGGGGGTGAAAACGGAACCGGGTCGGGGCTCTCGGGACAGGACAACGCTTTGGGGCACGGCTCACAGCGACGGCCCCGGGGGGTCGGGGGTCACCGGTGGTTCGTTTACCGCTTGTAAATTGCACATCAAAGCGCCCCGCTGGGGGACGAGGAGCTGAACCCGGAGGCAGCGCTGCGTTGTGCTTGGAACCAGCGGTGGGGGAAGGAGCCGCTGCACCCGCAGCAGCGCCCGCATCTCCGCCCCCGCCCCACGGCACAGGGAAACCCCCCCCCCCCCACGGAGGTGGGCGCACAGCGGTCAGCGCGGGGCCCCTCCGGTGCCAATGGGGCAGCGGTGGGGCGGCGGTGGGGCCCGGAGCGGAGCTGCCGCCGTCCGGTTGTCACAAGAGGTAGTGAGAACAGTGCAGAAAGGACGCAGCTCAGGGCGCCCCGTTCCCAACCGCTTTGCTGACGCTCCCCGGCCCCACAGATCGGCACCGGGGTGCAGCCGAGGTGGGGAGGGGGTGTGGGGTCACCCCATGGGGCTCGGCCCGGGCTTCAGTAAAGTGCTGCCGGCGCTGGGCTGGGGGAGGAGGGACCCCCAGGAGCGCCAGGCTGAGCTGCGTGCAGCCCCCCCAGGGCTCTATTGCTTTGGGGAATGGGGGGCTGCACGCCCACTCCCCCCATTTGGCACCGCTGCGCCGCGAGGCTCCGAAACGCCCCCAGAGCTCTGAGCAACGAGAAGGGGAGCGAAGCTTCCTCAGCGCCGAGGAGGGCGAGGAAAGGGCAGAACCTTCCAGGTACCCCTAAAGGGCTCCGGAAGAGACGCAGGGCATCAGAGCTCCCCGGATACGCCGTGCCCGTGGCTGCACAGACCCCAAACGGCTCCGCCCCCGTCCCAAACCTCCCCCGGCGCTGCAGTGCAAAACTCAGGAATGGAACGATGCTATCAGCAGCGAGACGCCCAGCCCAGCTGCAATCCTACTGCCTACGGACGGCACGACCCCAAACTGCTCACAGCGACCCTAAGGGCACCGGGAGCCCAAAAGGCACTCACACCAGCCCTAGGACAGGGCAACTCCAGACGGCGCTCACACTGACTCCAAGGGCAGCGGGACCCCAAACTGCACTCACACTGAGCCTACGGATGCTGGGACCCCAAATGGAGCTCACACCGCCTCTGTGAACAGTGAGACCCCAAAATGTGCTCACACCAACCCTGAGGGCAGCAGGAACCCAAAAACCGATGCTCACACAGACGCTAAGGGCAGCGGGACCCCAATCGGCGCTCACTGACCCGGCCGGAGCCCAGCCCACGTCCCGGCCAAAGGATGGATGGACGGACGGACGGCGGCTCAGCAGCACAGGGCAGCGCTGGGGGCAGAGCGCAGCACTTCACCCTCTGGCTCCCATTTCCTGCAGCATTGGGGGAGAGGAGAGGAGAGGAGAGGAGAGGAGAGGAGAGGAGAGGAGAGGAGAGGAGAGGAGAGGAGAGGAGAGGAGAGGAGAGGAGAGGAGAGGAGAGGAGAGGAGAGGAGAGGAGAGGAGAGGAGAGGAGAGGAGAGGAGAGGAGAGGAGAGGAGAGGAGAGGAGAGGAGAGGAGAGGAGAGGAGAGGAGAGGAGAGGAGAGGAGAGGAGAGGAGAGGAGAGGAGAGGAGAGGAGAGGAGAGGCCAAACCCCGCGGCCGCCCCGCGCGCGGCTCAGCCAGGCCACAGCTTTCCATGCGATCACTTTATTGTCTCAAGACGAACAAGGGCAGTGGGACGGGATCAGTAAGGCCACGTTCCTCTCACCATTTCTTTTCCTCCTTTGCATGGAACGAGCGCAGCCGGCGCCCCGGCCCCACGCGCACATGGGGAACACGGGGACGCAGAGCAGCCGCTGCGCCCGCCGGCCGCTGAGGTCTGTCCTACTGCGTTCAAAGACACGTTTATGTGCCTGAGGTGCGGAGGGGCAGCGTTCACACACAGGACGTGGTGAGCACACACAGCTCGCGGCAGACGCCTTCCAGTCCTCGCAGACGCCGCCCCCCCCCGCCGCCCCGGAGCTCCGCGATACGAACCCGAAAAAGCGCCGCTGGGAGAAGAGGTGCCGACAGCTCCTGGGTCCTTGGAGAGAAAGGAAGAAAGAAACGCACAGAAAAGCAGAAGAAAAGAGGAAAAGAAAGGGAGAAAAAGCCAACTACCCCGAAGCGAACAACGCACGCGAGCTCCGAATGGAAAGGGGGGTTTTGTCCTTTGGTTTCTTACGAAGGCGAAGTGGGGCGCGCTCTGCACGGCTCTGTGGTCCCTATGGGGGCAGCGGGGGGACGCAGCCCCGGCACAAAACGAACCACAAAGGTTTCTGGGCTCTCTGCTTTGCTCCTCGCTTTGGCCTTTGCTCTGCGCTGCGCTCGGGGCTGCGGCGCTCAGAACCCGACGTCGTTCCTGCGGAGTTTTTTTTCCTATTTTTATCTTTTTTTTCTTTATCTTTTTTTTTTTTTGGAGCTTTCACTCTGGTTTCAGTGCTGCTTTCGGATCTGTCGGCCTCAGCCCCAGGTCGGCGGGGCCGGAAATCAGCGGTGCTTTGGGTTGGGATGGGGGGGGGGCGCAGGGACGGGGCCTCGCATCTCCCGCAGGAAACGAATCGCCTGCAGTCGGGAGCAGCAAGGAGGAAACGCAGCAGCGCCTCCTCAGCGCCGCTGGTGGTCGGGGGCTGCGGGGGGCGTCAGGAGGAGCCGTGGGCCGCCTTACATTCAGTGTTTGTCAGCAGTTTTATGGCTCAGGCGGGCGCGCGGCCCGCGGCTCTGGCAATGGCAGTGCAAATACACCTTTCCCACTTGAAATGTATTTGTGCTGTTTTCTCTTTTTTTTTTTTTCTATTTTTTTTTTCCTTTTTTTTTTCCCCTCTCTCTCTCTCTCTCTCTCTCTCGTAACACAGCTTCCCTTTCTTCATTCGTTCCCTGGAAACAAAACTCTTTCCTTTTTTCTCTTTTTTTCAAGTTAAAAAAAATCAAAGACTAAAAGCAGAACGAAACCCAGCGCCGCTCTCGCCACCCCTTCCTCCGCTGCTCTGCCCCCCGCGGGACGCCCAAGGCCTCACGCTTTCACAAAGTGCTCATTCCTTGAAGCAAGTGCTTTGGGCCGGGGGGCGGAGAGAAACTTCCTGTCCTTTTGGGGGCCGTTTGTCCCACACCCCACAGCTTTGGGGGGCCGAGGAGCCGCCGCTCGGCGAGCTCTGCACCAAACGTTGCCGCAGGAACGCGAAGCAGGAATGGTCCGACTTTGGCATGGAGGCGGCGGCGGAAGCTTCCCTCCGTCCCTCTTACAATGCACTGGGAAACCACCACGAATCTCGTTGAGCAAAAGAACGCGTTATCACCGAACACTTGGATTATTACTGAAATCGTCAAGCTGTGCTGTCGGATGAATGCGATACAGCGTTAAAGGAGAACAAGACTGGAGCTGCGGGGAACGCGGCCGCGCTTCCCCCCCATCACCCCCAGCCCCCGACCGCGGCCGCGCTGCTGAAACCTCGCTTCACTCCACCGTCGTCATTATTATTATCGTCATTATTGATAACAAGACACGAGGGGAGAAAAACCTCCTCGCTAAGAGCAAGGGACGCGTCCACACGAAGCTGCAGGGAGCAAACGAGAAGCCCTTACGAGGTCGCTTTGATTGTCTCATCGTCCCGTCGTCGCGTCGAGCGCCAACGCGCAGCGCGGGCAGAAGGCAAAAGGGGCCGGGGCTGGAAAAAGGAACCGAAAAGCGCAACCGAAATACCGAGAAAAATCAAAAGGAGAGAAGGAAAAGCAGCTCTGTGTGCTCTAAGGAATTCTCTCGTCCCGGATGCAGCTGAAGCCGTGAGGACCGACCGGCAGCAGCCCAGGCCGCGGGGCTCCGGACCCCATCTGCCAGCGCAGGGAAAGGAGCCGGGAGATGAGGGACGCGGCAGCCATGTAAACAAATCTCTTTTTTTTTCCAGTTCTCCTCTGCAGAATACTGAAAAGGATCTTCAGAAAGGACCTTTCGATTCAAGTTTTGTGAGCTCTGGTTCCCCATGAGGTATTCGGCGCAGGAAGGCCAGCGGGAGGACGGGGTGAGCGGGGAGCCCCGGGGGGGCAGGGAGCCGAGCAGCGCCGCCGGGGAGCAGCGGGCAGCGAGCCGCAGAGCTGCTGGGACACAAAGCGCTCGCAGCCCGCGGCCGCTGCTCCCCTTTGGTTCTGAGGGCTTTGGTAAAAGGGAGCCGCAGCGCGACGGCGCCGCCTGCGCTGCCCAGGGCCGGCCTGCGCCAGCGCCACGGAGCGGCTCCAGCAGCAGCGGGGAACGACGCCGATTTGGTTACAGAAACGCCCGCCTTCCTGCTGTGCAGAACCGGGAGGCAGCGCAGGACACGGAGGGGTGGCTGGGAGGAGCGGGAGCCGAGCGGCCACAAAGCGGCTGAGAGCAGGACGTGAGCGGGACAGGAGCAGAGCACAGGCAGCCATGAGCGGGACGCGAGCAGCCCTGAATGCGACACGAGCAGAATCCAAGCAGGCCACAAACAGCCCGCAAACAGCCATGAGCCCACATGGGAGGCCAGCAGCAGGAACAAGCGGGCTGCAAGAGAGCCGTGAGCGCACCAAGGACAGGATGCAAGCAGGAGCCAAATCATGCCACGAGCTGCCATAGCTGTGAATGTGCCACAACAGGAACCAAGGCAGCCATAGCTGTGAATGTGCCACGACAGGAACCAGGGCAGCCACGACAGCCATGAGCAGAGCGCAGGCAGGATGCAGCAGCACCAAGCTGCAGCTCCCAGCCCTGCTCTCCCCCAGCCCAGGCCGGAGCCAAAGCCGGCAGCAGCACCGACCGCAGGCCGCCCCCCGCAGCCCCCCCCCCTTGGCCTCGCAGCCTCTGCGCCTGCTGCTGTTACAGTAATTCGGAAAGGAAAAAACGAAACGGAACAAAAAAACCCAGCAGTGCAACGTTTCTCGAATGCTTCGAACCTGCCCTATAAATACGATCTCTGAGATCAGAAAAGAAAACCCGACACAACAAAAAAACCCAACGATCTGACGAAGGCGCGAGCCACTAAAACCTGCCAGCGAGCTGCGGTAGAAAAATAAATACAGACCTATCGGGGGTGTGAATAAGGACGCTGAAGTGCATTTTCTTCCTTATTTAAAGGCTGAAGGTTTCAGATTTTTTTTGGATTTTTGTTGGTTTTTTTCAAGGTAAATGCTTGTTTCCTTATAAATAACCTTTTATCTAAAAAAAAGCAACACTGACTCTGGCACGGCAGCAGCCACGCGACAAGGAGAACGAAAACCCTCTTAGGATCCGACATCTTGTCAAGAGGAAAAAACAAAACCAAAAACAAACCAGAAACGGAAAACCAACAGAATCCCTAAAGTGCCTGGCGTGGGGAGCGAGGTTCCAGCAGCGCCCGCAGACCGCGGCGCCCGCTTTTGCATAAAAGTGACAGCTGCCAAAAGGGTGTTTTAGTGTCCCAGGTACAGTAGATCTCGATTCAAGTGTCTGTATAGGAATCGGAGGATGAGCACGAGAGAAAAGCGACTCAGAGAGGAGCGTTACGGCGGCACCTGGCCGGGAGCGAGCGCCCACCCCAGCGGCTGCACGGCACCCGACCCCAAAGCACACCAAGAGTTCAGGCTTCCCCGTCCCAGCGGAACCGATTCGATCCGCCCCAAAAGCGGGAGCCAAATTCTCTTCCCACCAGCAGCCCCGCGGTCCCCATCAGCCGCTTGGTTTGTTTCTAATTGAGCTTTTCTCGTTTGGGTTCTGCGGCCGCGCAGCCCAGGAGCTGCTGGGTGCCACACGAGGGCTGCCAAGGGCCGCAGCAGCGCGGCGGGGGCTCAGGGCAGCCCTGCTCCAGCAGCACTGCGCCGCCACTCAGCAAGAAGCGTTGAACTCTTGGTGTGCACGGCCGCGCTAGAAGGCCCGCCCAGTCTTGTTCTCCTTTAAAGTGCCCTATATTTATAGAATTTCTAAATAAATATAATAAGATATTAGGTCACCCATAGTTTAAGCTACTCCGAGTAACAGCCGTCCAAGCCGATGGCGCCGTGCCGGTCCTTGCCGTAGGGGCAGGAGCTGCCGTTGGGCAGCGCCCCGCAGGCCGCGGTTTTGGCTGCGATGCCGCAGTTCTTGAGGAGGTTGAAGCTGAAAGAGCTGATGGCGTCTTTAGGTGGGAAAGGCTTCATGGTGGAGAGGATAAGTGCCAGGCAGTCGGCAACGTCCTTGTTGGGGGCGCACGCCAAGGCTGGGGTGTGACCTGGGACAGAGCCGGAGGTGAAGGGGCTGCTGCCAGGACCCCCGGCACGGCCAAAGGGAGGAAGGGGCAGGGAAAGTCCCTCGCTTTCCGGCTCCGCGTCACCCTGCGCCCGGCAAGGGGCAGCTTTCATCCCGTCCCGTCTCAAAGGACCCTGCACCTGGGCACCAGCGGTCCCTGCCCTTTCTGAAACTGCTTTGAGGCGTGCCGGGATCAGCGGGAGGTGAGCTACAAAGCCTCAGAGCCCTGGCAGCGGGGCAGCACTACCGGTATTGTTCACAACCTGAAGGTGTTCCAGCAGAGCAAAAACTGCTGGGATAAACAGCTTCTGGTGGCAGCAGCCAGCTTCTGCCAACTTGCAAGCAAGCCAAGGGCTTATCAGCGGCCCAGGCTGGCACCTGGGCAAGCGCGCCCAGGAGACACACGAGATAAAAAGCCCAGAAGATGCATGAGGTTAAGAGACACATGTCTGAAAGCCCCCGGGACAGGGAATGCCTCCGCAGGGGCGGCAGGGGGTCGGCATCGTCACGCTGACCGAGCGCACGCAGCTCAGACACAGAAGGGGTGGGAAATCCCAGCCCACCGCCTCCCCGCGCCGCCCCGGAGCCCCGCGCGGCCCTGAGCAACACGCACCTTCTTCATCCACAGCCAGCACGGTGGCACCTCTGCTGAGCAGGGCCTGGACAACGGCGGCCAGCCCGTTCCGTGCAGCGATGTGGAGCGGCCTGGGGAGGGAAGGCAGCACTCAGGGGCAGGCAATGCAGCCACCAGGCCCTGGGGAGGCAGGGTCGCCCTCCCCCAGCATTGCACGCATTGGAATCAGCGCAGGCATCGGGGCTGATGCTCACGGCGAGCACCAAACGCGTGCACCTCCTTCCGCCATCCTCTTTTCTCTCTCTCCTCTCACCCAGGCCTCACCACCCCCCCGGAAAGCCCTGATTTCCACCCCCCACCTCCCAGTGCCAGCTGTCCAAATACTCACATCTGCAGAGCACTGTTACTTGCATTGATAAGGCCAAGGTCTTGGGTTTCCCCCAGGATCAACAAGGCACACTTTTCATGACCCTGTAAAGGAGAATGAACTGCTTGTAGCACACAGGCAGCAAAACGGGAGCTGGGTGCTGCCAAAGCTCAAAGCAATTCCCTGGGATTCAGATTCACCCCCCAAACACATCCTTCTGGAACGGCTCACCATTCCAGAAGGGTCTGCAAAGAGAGCCGATGTTTCCTACACTCCCTTCCCTGCAGTGCCTCTGGGCTCCGGCTCCCTACCTTGCTGCAGGCCAGGTGAAGAGCTGTGTTCTTGTTGACATCCAGCACAGTTATATTTGCTTTTGCTTGGTACAGCAGGAACTCTGAAACGAGGAGGGACAGCTGTCACAAGAAAACGAAGCTCAGACCACGGCAGCGGGAGCAGCAGCCACACGCTGAGGGGCAGCAGAGGCACAGCCTGGCTCCAAAGGACCCAGAGGAGGCAGAGGGGCCTCGCAGCCCATGCTGGGGAAAACAGCTGCGTCGGTGTGGCCGACAGCCCCAGGAAAAGCTGAAAGCACCGCAGACCCCGAGCAGCGAACGCCTCCGCTCCCCCAGGGAGTCCCAGGCTGCCACAGGACACAGCGTGGTGGCAGCCCCCTGCCGATCGGCCGTGCCTGGGGAAGGGGCGGCTGCTGCTCACGTACCAACGGCTGCGGTGTGCCCGTTCTCTGAGGCCATCATGAGGGGAGTCCTCCCCAGCTTGTCAGTCGTGTCCACCTCGGCTTGGTGGCGCAGAAGCAGCTGTAAACCATGGATGTTGTCTGCAAAGGCAGCAGCGTGAAGGGGTGTCCTGCGAAAAGGAGAGCTCAGGTAAAGAGAAGGGCACAGAAAGCACTGCAGCAAGACTGCCTGGGCCTGGAGACACGCCTGGGGACATCAGAGATGGAACTCGACCATCTTAATGGCCCCTCTTCCAACCCAAACCATTCCACGATTCCTCGATTTCAGGACAGGGGAGACGCAGAAGCAGCAGAATTGCTTTTCTGCACTGGGTGCAGCCATTCCCTCCCACAGCCACCCCAACAGGCTTCTAAGACAGGTCAGGTAGTGCTGCTGCCACTCTCCTGGTGGGAACCAGCAAGAAGGAAGAGCTGCAGGAGTCACAGCCACCACTCAGCAGCACCACAGAGAGCAACGCCTGCGCTCACCTTCCTTTGGCATCTCTGCTATTAACAATCTTGGCACCTAATGCTTCCACCAGCATTTCAGCAGTGCTGTCCTGGTTGTTAATTCTGCAGTGGGGACAAGAAGGAAAGTTAGAACAAGACTCAGCAGCATTAGCATGGCTGCAATTGGAATGAGGAGCGGGCTCCTGAGGCTCGAGAGCCATCGGCAGCTGGTCTGGAGTTGCTCAGAGTAAAACATCCTTTCTCTTTTTTGACGGCAGCCAAGGAAGCACAACACCATGTCACAGAACTGCTTTGCTCATCCCTCTGCTGTCAGCTTTTCAGGGGCTGACCCTCTCACCTCGGCAGCCCCACCAAGCTGGCACGTGGACCTCCTGCATGCCAGCCCTGGCTGCGCTGCACACAGCCAACAGACAGATGCCCTGCAGCTCCTAGAGGCCCTCCCACAGTCTGGCAGCCACCTCTCTGCCGGAGGGGAGCTGGGACAAAAGGGCTGTGTAACCCTGAGCTGTTACTGCCACCCGGAGAGGAGCCCTTGACAAGCAGGACAGCTTTGGAGCTCCATCTGCAGGCTCCAGCCTGCTCTGGCCCTGCACCCCTCTCCCACGTCACCTGGTGAGAAGCCAGGGCAGCCCCGACACCACTTACACTGCACAGTGCAATGGAGTAAAGGGGTTTCCTTCTAAGTATGCAAACGGATTGTGTTCAAGTAACAATTCAAGACAATCTTCATGCCCTGTGAGGGGAGAGAGACATAAGGCCGTCAGCACCCAGCCAGAGCAGAGGTGGGATGGCGCCCAGCCCCGGCTCTCACCGCTGTACGAAGCCCAGTGCATTGGCGAGTAACCGCTGTAGTCCACCACAGAGTCCAGGGGGTCAGTAGAGAGGGCTGCCTGCAGCAAGGTCCTCAGGATTTCTAAGTGCCCACACGCCGATGCAAAGTGGATCGGGGTCCGGCCTTTGAAATCCCGACACAGAACGAAGGCATCGTGGTCCAGCAGAGCAGCCAGGCAGTCCTCGCAGCCCGTTACAGCCTGTGCCAGAAGAGAGGACGAGGTCAGAGGAATCGGGCTACTTCACCGAGGACTCCTGCGGCAACAGGAGCCCCTCGCTTGTCCTCCAAGCAGCCCCACGCAGGAGGCATCAGAGCAGAAGCTGCAGGCGCCCCAGAGATGCACTCACCCCCCGATGCAGGGCGGTCCTTCCTCTCTTGTCGGCTGCGTCAGCTGTGGATCCCTTCTCCAGGAGGAGGTGGACGCAGTCGACGTGGCCGTTCATGATCGCCAGCATCAGTGGGGTTCTGTGGGGAGGAGGGGGCTCGGCACCGCGCTGCGCTCAGGCGCTGCCCCCAGGCCTGACCACCACCCTGAGACGCAGCCCCAGAGAAAGGCGCAGGCGAACTCACTGGCCGTGGATGTCCATGACATCGGTGATGTCTGCCCGCTCCCCGCTGTCTATCAGGAGGTGCAGGGAATCAGTGTTCCCGTTGGCAGCTGCAGACAGCAGAGGAAAGGCGTTACAAACCCGCACCGACGAGTCCCTCCTTCCAGCTGCCTCCACAGCCAAAGGTGCAGACTCGTGCTCAGCAGCCGGGCACACGTGGCTGAGCAAGCTCATTACAGGGTTGCTAGGCTACAGGGCCGACAGCACACGCACAGGCTGAGCTGGAAACACGTGTGTGCAGAAGCCGCTGGTGTCCTCTCCCAGCTGCTGCCGGGCAACCGGGCCCCCAGCTTCTGCACAGGCGCAGCCCGGCCCTAAGCCCCAGCCGTTTCCCCTTCCCCGATGAGCAGCTGGGGAATGGCTAAAGGAGACCCCCGGCTCCCTCGCAGCCCCCAGCCTCATTACCTGCAGCGTGGAGAGGGGTCCACTTCCTCTTCCTCTCCTTCACCAGGGCGGAGGCGCCGTGGCTGGTGAGCACCTCCACGCACTCGGTGGAGCCTCTCTCCGTGGCGAGGTACAGGGCTGTGCGCCCCTTGTGGTCCCGCACGTCCAGGTTCACGAGGGTTTCTGCAAGTGTCTTCAGGGCTTCACAGTGACCATTATAGGCCTGAGGACAGAGCAGGCGACGTCACCGCAGCGTCCAGAGGGGCTGCGGCCTGCAGATCCAACCCTGGGACGGTTCTGCTGCCCCCTGCTGCGCTCCCACCCCACCCTGCCCACACGCAGCTGAGGCGGCCGTGAAACAGAACGAGCAAGGAGCCCCAAGTGCAAAACAAAGGCATCTCGAGCCCCAGGCTGCTGCCCCCCCTCCCGCTTTGCCCCACGCAGCTCTTTGGCCAAAATGGAGCTGCTGCAGCTCTCTAGGGCACAGCGAAGCCCAGCTCAGAGCCAAGTGCCCTCTGCCACCCTGGGGCTGGGCCAGCCGTACTCACAGCTAAGTGCAAAGGGCTGACTGGAATGGTGCTTTCCACATCCTCCAGGCAGTTAAAAGACATTTCCAGGAGCTGCGACAGCCAAAACACAAACCAGTAAGTGCCCCCGAAAACACGCCATCGTGGAGGCTTCAACCCACACCCTATCTACCAGCAGGCTGCAAGGCAAAAACAGAGCCAACTCATCTGCCCTGGAATGATCTGAACTACAGGAGAGAACCTTCCTTAACCTCACCAAGGCCCAAGTTCTTCCTCTGTGCTACCATCAGCACAACGGCTCGCCGAGAATCCCCGTGGAATTTAATCAAACCCACTTCCCTTCCTCCTGAACAAACAGCACTGCAGCGCTTCCAATGCACACAACTGGATGCTGCAAGGCTCCAGAGGTCCTCGTGGGGGCCTCCCCCACCCCCTGCAGCACACAAGGCTTTGCTTTACTCACCAGTTCAAGGTTCTGCCTGTTGCCATACGCAGCTGCATAGTGGACAGCTGTGTATCCCTGCTTGTCCCGGAGGGATGGGTCAGCACCATTATCCAGCAAGAACTCTAAACAACTGCAGCAAGAGAGAGAAAGGGAGATCAGGAAAACAGTGAGAGTAGAGAAGCATGCCCAGGAAGGGACCTCGTGCTCGATCTGACAGCAGATGCTGTATGAAACCCTGCTGGACACAGAGCACATGCAGACGCCCTGGGGATCAGGGCTGAGGAGATGGCCAAGGTTTGCTCAAGAACCAAACCAGCAGGTGTTTCCTCATTGCAGCTCAGCTCAGCGCAAGCAGGAGTGAAGTATTGCCCTGGGAAGGGGTGAACAACAGATGGGGCTGCACGGACTCACAAGAATGCCTCCTTCATCCTGGACTCCTTCAGTGGCTCCTCATCAGTGTCATGGCTGTTTCCTGAATGAGTCTCTGCTCTGAAGGGTCAGAAGCTCCCATGAGTTTGCTGACCACCCCCCTCCCTCCTCCTCACAAGGCACGGCTTGGGGAGGCGGCCGGGGCACAGCAGAGCATCCCCCCGCTCAGGGCACACGCTCACCTCCTGTACGTGTCCGAAGCAGCAGCATAGTGTAAGGGGGTGCAGCCTTTACAGTCAGCCTCGTTAATACTGGCTCCTGCAGTGACCAGCGTCACCGTACACTGATAGCTGCCGTTGGCAGCTGCGTAGTGCAGTGGAGTCCTGGGGAGGGGAAAGGAGAAAGGGCTGAGGAGCACCGACTGTCACAGGGAAACCGGGGGGCATCGGCAGGACCCAGGGAGATGCCCACCCCAGCTGCCGAGCTGCACCTCACTTTTGGGCAGCTGCTCCGTTTAAAGAGCCAGAGCCAGACTCCTCAGGGAGATGTGGGGCTAAAGCAGCAGCGTATGCAGGGCACTACATCCAAAAGCCTCCCTGGAGGCAGTGTTTTGTCTTCTGACACCAAGCCCAAGCCATCAGCCTGCCCAGATTCAGCTGGCATCACCTCCTAAACCCCAGCTCAGCCCCACACTACTGCTGGGAGGCTGTAAACACCACACGCAGACCTGGGAGAAGCCCAGCCCAAACCCAGCTGCTGCAGAGGAACCACCTTTGCATCGCCCACAGCACGCTTACCTTCCGAATTTATCTCTCCTCCTCAAGTCAGCACCGCTGCTCAACAGCAAATTAAGACATTCAACGTTCCTACAGGAGTTGGGGAGACGAGTCAGACACAGACGAGAAGGCAGCGCAGCAGCAACGCTGACTCCTCCTAGTTGCAGACAAGGCAGCTGCACTCCTACCCACACAGCCTGGCTGTGCGGAGCTCAGCGCAGGCCGTCAGCTGCAGCCACGGCTGGATCTGCTCGTGCGAAGCCCTGCAGCAGCATCGCCCCCGTGCCTCCTGCACTGCCAGCGCCGCCCTGCACCGCGCGGCGAAACGGCACGAGGCGCTCACACGGCCAGCTGAGCCCTGCTGCTCTTCTGGCACCACACTGCGAACCCTTCCCAACCTCAGCCAAGCGAGAACTGCAGCTCCACGTCAAATAAAGGCCAAGGGCGCAGAGGCCAGGATGGATCAGAACCAACACCCCCACACGGCCCAGCGGCGCCCCGTCCGCTCCTGGCCCTCAGCGCACATCCCGACCGCCTGCACAGGGCCGGGCTCGGCACCCGGCGGCAGGCAGCGCTCAGCTCACCCTCCAGAAGCAGCAGCGTGGAGGCAAGTCCTCCCAAGGTTGTCAGGTGTGTTGATATCAAAGCCTGCAGACAGCACGTGCTCATTGCTCAGCGAGGAGACGATGCTGTACAACTGACCTGCGGGGCAGAGTGCAGGGAGTCAGGGCAGCGCAGCGCTCAGCCTGAGGATCCCCCGCAGGCAGGGGCAGCCCGGCCACTCACCTGAGGAAAGTAGCTTACGACAACAGTCTGAAAATCCAAAGAGAACAGCTAAGTGCAGAGGGAACATGTCGTGGATCCCACGCCTGCAGGAGAGGGGACCGGCTCAGCGAGGGCCCTCCTCGCATCCTCCAGCCCAAGGAGGCAGGGAAGGGAGAGATCTTCCTTACCTTGCAGTGTCAGCACCATTCGTCATCAAAGTACTAATTAGCAGCTCGTGGCCATATCTAGCAGCAACGTGGAGGGGGGTATTGCCGTATTTGTCAGCACAGTCAATCTCACTGCCTGGAAAGGGAAAGCCGAGCGCTACCAGCGGATCTCTGCACTCTAATCCCAGGAAGCAGCCTTGCTCTGAAAGAGGCTCAGGCTGCACTGGGAGCAAAGAACACGGGCCAGGCTGCTCTGGTGGTTGTGTCCCATCTCAGGACACGGCTGACAACTCGAGTCCATTCTACATCATGCAGGACAGCTGTAAGTTGCTGTCTGTGCTGGGAGCCCACCTGCCAGCCCGGGGCATTACATCTCCCCTTGTCCCCCAGGAAGGGATGCGTTCAGCCCCCAGGTCTCTGGGGGAGGCACTGAGCAGCACAGCAGCAGGATGGGGCAGCAGCCACTCACCATTCTGAATGAGGATCTGCGAACGCGTGAACCGCCCGTGGATGGCAGCCATGTGCAGGGGGCTCTTCCCTTCCTTACTCTGCAGAGAGCAGAAGCGAGGTCGCGTCAGGCTCCCGTCACCACCCCAAGCTCCCCCCGGGGCAGCAGACCCCCGCATCCCCACCCAGGGCTCAGCCCCTCGGCACCAGACCTGAAAGTTGACGTCAGCCCCGTTGTTGACGAGGAGCTCCAGGCACAGGGCCCCGTTGGTGGAGACAGCAGCAAAGTGCAGAGGGGTGAAGCCCTTCTCGTTAGGCTGATTGACGTTGGCGCCGTAATTAACCAGTTCGTTGGCCACGGCATCTTGGCCCATGTAACAGGCGATGTGAAGTGCAGTGTTACCGAAGGAATTTGGTTCGTCGATCTGCGGGAGCAGCAAACCCAGAGGATTTGGGGATTGAGAAGGAAAAAAAAGGGGGAAAAAAGGGGCAGCCACAAAGCAGCCCACGCTGCCAGGCTGCCCAGCTCCCAGAGCCCGGCTGCGGCCTCACCTCCACGCCCAGCCGCAGCAGGTGACGCACAACCTCGATCTGCCCGCTGGCCGCCGCCGTGTGCAGCAGGGTGTAGCCCTTCTTGTCCTTGCACGTCACGTCGGCTCCCCGGGCCACCAGCAGCTTCAGAACTTCCAAATGCCCTGCGGGAAGGAGAGGTGAGAGCCCAGGGGCACAGAGCGCGCTGCGAGGCGAACCCACGGGGCGACGCCTTCTGGGGGACCTACCCAGAAAAGCCGCCCAGTGGATGGGCTGGCGATCCTTCTTGTCGCAGGTACTCAGGCTGGCCCCTTTGTTTAACAGCAGGTTCACCATCTGGGTGGAGAAGAGCAGCGTGAGGGGCCTGGCTGCCGTCCCACCCCCCCGGCGCCGCAGGAGCAGCCCAGACGCGGGAGGGGACGCGGCGAGGAGCCTGCGCCCCTGTGCACCCACCTCGAGGTGGCCGCTGTGCACGGCGTGGTGCAGCGCAGTGCGGCCCGTGCGGTCGGCGACATTGACAGTGCTGAGCAGGGGGATGATGGCCTCCACACACTTGGTGGCCCGGTTGGCAGCGGCGACGTGCAGAGGCGTTTGCCAATACTTGTCGCGGGCATTGACGTCTGCCGAGTGCTTCAGGAGGAGGTGAAGTGCTTTCTGGCAGGAGCAGAGGAGAGGAGAGCTCCAACTCAGCCTGCTGGAGCCACAGGCTCATCCCACCCGAGCACAGCTGTGAACTGCAGCCGCATGGGGGTACTGGCATGGGAGAAACGCATCTGAGCCGCGGGACGTAACGGAGTGAGGGCTGGTTTGAGACCAAGGAGGTGCAGAGCACCAGGACAACGAGTGGAACCCATTGAGCTGCACTCTACAGCGATTCCCTTTTTGCTGAGCGGCCGTGCGCTGCAGCCCCACACTCGCAGCACCTCCTGCCTCCTGGACATGCAGCGACTTTCCACACGCTCCCAGCCCGCAGCAAACGCCCCTGGCAGAGCTTTGCGCTCACGCATTTCATCTCCTGCCTGCTGCCAATCAGACAATCCACAAGGCCAGCTGATGTGTGGTAACTTGCCCTGCGTGTCAGATTCAGAGCTGCTGAACCCTGCCTCCAACCAACACGGCAGCAACGTTCCTTGCTCTCAAGTAACTCAAAACGGGACAGAGTTAAGCGGGATGAAGCTTAGCCCACGAAAGCCAAATGTCAGGAAACCTTTCCAACAAGATCTCCTGGAATCGGCTCCAAAAAGAGAGAGGGAGCCCCATTATCCGTCAAAGGAACATAAAGCTGGATTAACCAAAGCCCTTGGGAAGGGGGAAAAGGCAGGAGGGCAGCGTGGGGAAAACACGCGCTGGCTCCTGAAGGAGGCAGGGGGCAGACAGGGTCTTCCCCAGCTCTCATTTGAAGCATCTGCGTTACGAGGCCATCCTCTCCCCACTCCAACAGAACCATCCGAGCCAAAGGCAGGCAGGACAGAAGAGGGCAGCGCTCCTCCTCCCAGCAGCACGTACCTCGTTGCGAGAAGCCGCAGCGCGGTGCAGCGGGGTGAGCCAAACAGTGTCCTTTGCATTGACATTAGCACCTGAGGAAGAGCGAGAGCAGAGGCTCAGGAACAGAGGTGACCAGCTGCTGCCACGCGGGGCTCCTGCAGGCACGAGCAGCAGCCCTGCTGCAAAAGGGGGCTGTGCTGAGCTTCAGGCGAGGACAGAGACCAGGAAAAGCCACATCCCTTAAGGCTCTGCCAGCTCCCCTCCGAGCCAAACAGCCGCAGCAGAGCCCCGGAACGCAGCTCCCTCCTGGCTGGGTGCCCTCCTCTGTTAGTTCAGCTCCACGCTGCTTCGCCATCTGAACAAACCTCTTAGGATTACAGCAACGTTTCCTAATCTTTCCCTGCTGCAATCCCACTGGCTTAATTACGAGCACAGGGGAGTCTGGAGGGTGACCAACCCCTCCTGCTCTGCACCTCCCAGCGCAGAAGGGATCAGAACGACTCCCTCAAGGCAGCCCAGTGCCGAGCAAAACGCCCGAGCCCCGGCCCTTACCTGACAGTATGAGGAGCTCGAGGATTGCAACATCTCCTATGTAGGCAGCAGCATGCAGAGGTGTTCGTCTTTCTTGGTCCTGAGCAGGGATGGAAGGAGCTGCCATCAGCTCTGAGAGCAGGGGAGCGCTCAGCACAGCCCCTCCTGCCCAGCGCAGCACAGCAGGTGGCTCAGGGCACGCAGTGGGAAGCTGCTCCAAACGAGCCGCCTCCCCCCACGGGAACCGCAGGCAGTTCCTGCAGCCTGCTGGAGGCCAGCGAGGCTCTCGAAGCCCCTCTCCAAGCCCTGGTTGGATTAGCTGAAGAAAAAACACCTTTCACTTCTGTTTGCTCAGGGCTGGGCCCTGCGCTGCCTCTGCCTCCAGGCACTCAGCTCGGCGCTCCTGGGGAAGTGCCACGTACCAAAGCTGGGAAGCAAGCAAGGGGAAAGCTGGAAGAGCACAGCTCGCTTCCAGTCCCACATTTTGTGCTGGGGGGGAAAAGTAATTGTTTTTCAGAGAGCTAAGCACTGGGAAATGGTGGCAGTCTCATATTTTGCAGCACGCTGAGCTGGCACGGCCAGGCAGGAGGATGTGAAAGCGAAACCCAGCTGGCAGGTCAGCAAACAAGCAACAACATCTCTAAACCTGCACACCAGAAGGAAATTACGCATCAACAATCGCGGTTTTATTCCCTCGGCAGCTGCACGAGAGCCCTGCAAAACAATCCCAACACTGACAGCGAGGACGAGGCGCTGCCCGGTCCCTGACCCAGGCAGGCACAGGGAGAAGCCCTCAGCCCTTCACAGCACACCGTGCCACCAGGCTCTGCCACGGGCAGCAGGCAGCGCTACAGGGGCGGCGCAGAGCCCAGCACCGCAGCCCAGCAAGGCGCTGAAGCCGAACACTGCTGCGCTCGTGGCTCAGCGCTCGGGCTGGGAGCGCGGCGACTGCTGAGCCGGCGCTGGTCCAATGGAGGAAATGGGGTGTGCACCAAGGGGGGACGTCCCAGAGAGGAGCAGCGCCTTCCGGCACCCACCAGGCTCACTCTGCTTTGCTGACCAGCTCCAATCTTCCTCCCTCCACTGGGAATAACCTTACGGTTGGGCTCTCGTCAAGCCGTTCTGGGTCAGCATCCCAAAGAAGTAAAAGGTGAAGCGGCGGCGTGGCAGAGCTGAGCCCCCATGGGAGCCCCCCCCTCACAGCCCACCGCCTCCCAGCCACGCTCTGCGCCACAGGAGGCTTCAGGAAGAGCTCTCCAGGATGGGAGCCCCGTCCTTCCACACACCCCATTTTACACGATGGAGGCCACGGGACGAAACACAGCTACCAGCGGCAAAATCCTGAACCGACTGGAGCCCCCAGCTCTGAGCTCCCTGCAGAGCCCACCCCAAGCCCCCCAGCAGCCCATGTCCCCCCAGTGCTGCTGGGAAGCGCGGCGGGAGCCGGGTGAGGGCCTGAGCCGCAGGCTGGGCAGCACTCACCAGTACGTTGATATTCTCCTTCTGATTCAGCAGCGACCGCACTTCCTCTACATCGCGGTTGAAGATGGCTTGGACCAGAGGAGGCTGCAGAGAGAGGGATGGGAGGGAGGTGAAGGAGGGAGACGGAGCCCTGAAAGCCGAGCGCGGTCTGTGCGAGGAGCAGGACGGGGTGCTGAGCAGCTCGACCCGCACCAGGGACCGACCTCAAAGCCAGCGGAGGCGGTTCTCATGGCCTGGTATCGTTTGGCAACGGGGATCGATGCATTCGTTTAAAACCAACCTATTACTTCAGCAAAGGGAACCCAGCAACCATAGCTCTACAACTCCCCGTTTCAGCTTCCGTGGGTGAAAGTCTTGCCTTCCTCAATCATTCTGCACCGGGGGCACCGTAGAATACTTTTATCTTTTGCCTCGATGGCTTTGCCTCACAAGAAGCCCAGGAGTCATAATAGAACTCTTTTATCACCAGCTGCAAGGACACCTTCCTCGGTGCCACACACACTGCTCTAAAAGCTGCGGCCTAGCAAGCAGTGGGAATTGCTTGGGAAAGGAAAAAGCCACTGAAGGGCCTCCGGAAAATGGGGAAGGAGGAGGTGGGCACTCGACCACCCTTCACAGCACTGACGGTGCCCAAAGGGACACGAGAGTCCTTGGAAAGGAGCGAACACGTGTGCCCATACAGTGCACAGACAGCCTTGGCTGTTCAGATGTGGAACCTGAACTCTGAGAGGCTGCTTGTTTGTCATGGCGCCTGGTCTGCATGGCGAGGAAGAAAGGCGTGCTGCTTTCTAACACTGCACTGGGGTTACAGAGTTTTCCTCCTGGATTCCGGATGACAGCACTGATGGGTTTTGGACAGGGAACGCTCAGAGGGTGGCTTAGAAAAGCTCCCTGCTATGGAGCCCAGGCAGCGGTGCTGAGTGCAGGACGGTGAACCGCAGGGTGCCCAGGCTCCGCTCAGTGGGAGATCTCGGATTTTTCACTGCTCTCCCATCCCTAAAAGCGGCATCGCATCCCCCGCGTTTGGTGGGGCAGCAGCCACGCAGCCCAGCGCTCTGCGCCCAGCACCGCCGGCTCCCGCAGCATCCACCTGAGAGCCGTCAAAGCCGGGCAGCGCATCCCGGCTCGGAGGCAACGCGTGACTCATCCCGTCGGAATGCGGCACACGGCATCCCTCGGTTCGACGTTAAAAACACAGAAATGCGATAAAAACGGGCAGGCGCGGCAGAGGCACCGCGCCGCCGTCACACCCACCGCCCCCCGCGGGGCAGCGGAACGCTCCGGTGACCGGAAAAATAAAAAAAGTTCTCGTGCCGCCGCAGCCGCGCGCCCGCTTCCCACCTCCAGCCTTTCCCCTCCCGCGGCCGCGACGCTCCGCGAGGATCGGACCGAGCCGGGCCCGGGCGGAGCCCGCGGGGGAGCCGGGCGGGAGTGGAAGCGGCAAAGGGCCACGTGCGGGCGGCGCTGCGGGATCCCCGGCCGTCCCACAGCTGCGGGCCCGCGGCCTCCCCCGGGCCGAACCCCGACCGCGCTGCGGCCCGGCGGCCCCCACCGCCTCGCCGAGCGCGGATCCCGGCGCTGCGGCGCCGCGGGGGGGGAGCGGGGGTTCGGGCCGGGCCCGGCAGCGGGTTGCGGTCCGGCGGGAGGCCCCGCGGCCTGGGGCGGCGGCCCGGCCCGGTGCGGAGCGCGGTAGGCCGCGCATCCCCGGACTGGCGCGGCGGCGGCGCCGGGCGCGCTGCGGGATCGGCGGGGCGGACGCGGCGGCCGTACCTGGTCCGTGATGCTGAGAATCCCCATCTCGGGGCGGCCCTCAGCGCTCAGCTCCCGGCATCGGGCTCCGGCCGCGGCGGCTCCGCTCGGGCGGCTGCGGGGCGGGGAGCGCCAGGGCCCGCCCACCGCCGGGGAGCGGCCGACACCGCCGGGCCGCAGCGCCGCCGCCGGCCGTTACCACCGCCAGCACGGGCGGCGGGGCGGGGCCGGGGCCGGGCCGCGGGGGTCGTCGCCCCCATCGGGCCGGGGCGCGGGAAGGCGTCGGCGGGGACGGGGCGGCCCGGCCCGGGAAAGGGGCGCCGAGGGGCGCCCGGCACGTGGGGGTCTGGAGCGGCCGCGGCCGGGCGCGGACGCGGAGCTCGGGGCGCTTCCTTCGCTTCCCCCTCCCGGGCCGGGCGGCTCCGCCGGCTCCCCATCATCCGTCCCGCGCCCCATTGGCCTCCAGTTGGGTTTCCCGCCGGGGGCCGGGGCTGCCATCACGGAACTCCCGCCGCCTCCGGGCCAGTGAGAGGCCGAGGCTGAGGCCGAGCGTTGCGCCGCGTTACGGAGGCTCCGCGACGAGCCGGGAGCTCCGCGGTAGAACCGGCCGGGGGCGGCGGGCGCCACGAACCCTACGGCTCCGCACGGCGCCGAGCGAAGCGACGCCTTCACACCGCCACGTGGGAGGCGCCTCCCGGTGCGGGGATGCACAGCCCGGCTCCGCGCGTTTCCCCGGCTGCTGCACAGAGGGCGGCTTTTGATTCGGTGCGACGAGACCGAACCGGGGAAGCGAGAAAAACGAGCCCTGAGCGCTCAGCGGCGGAGCCCCGGCCCGAGGGGACGGGAGGAAAGGAGCGAACCCGGGCGGAACTACAAGTCCCGGCGTGCCTCGCGCGGCGCGGCCTACTGCTCCTGGCGTGCCTCGCGCGCGGGCGCCACCCGGCCCCGCCCCCCGGGCCGTGACGCGCGCGGGCTCTATGGTGACGCGGTGACGTCACGCGGGTGAAAGGTCACGGCGACGCCGGGCTGAGGGCAGCGGAGCCGCGTCCCGGCCCCGGTCATGGCGGCCCGGCGGCTCCGCGGGGCCCTGCAGTTCGGGGCGCGGCAGCGGCTGCGGGCGGTGGCAGCGCCTCCTGGGAGGTGAGCGGCGGGACCGGGCGGAGACCGCGGGGACGGACGGGGGCGGGGACGGGGACGGGAAGGCCTCGGCGAGGGCCCAGAGGTCACCGGTGCGGGGCGCGGCTCCGCGGGGAGCGAACGGCGCGCGCTGCGGGGCGGCAGGGACGAGGCGGGGGGCGATGCGGGGCGGCGGCCGTCGCCGCGCCCGGGACAACGGGAGCGGTGCGGGGACGCCGGCGGTCCCGGCTGACCTCTGCGCCCGGGACGTGGCCGGCAGCCAGCGGCTCCGCGCCGGGACGGGGGCACGGCCGGTCCTGGAGCTCCGCCCGTCGCCGCCCCGGGGCTTCGTTGGCGGGTACCGAAATGGGACCTTTCCTCCCGCGGCCGCCGGTCCCGGAGGAAAGCCGTTAAAATTCCCACGGAGATGGAGCGCGTCCGGCCGGCGCTGCCGCGGGGACGGCGGTGACAAACGGCTCCGCCGGGCTGCAGCCCCCGCGGCTGCGCTGTCGCCTGGGATGTGAGGCGGGTCGGATCTGGGTGATGCGAGGCTGCGGGCGCTGATGGGACCCCGCCGCTGCAGGGCTGCGTGTGGGACCCGGCACCGCCAGGGCTGCGCAGCGTCGCCGCTTCCCTTCCGGCGGGGCGGCACTGCCTGCACGGCCCTGAGCGAGGTGGGAGGTGGAGGAGGGTGAACGTCGGGGCTCAGCTGGGCTCTGAGCTGCCCCGGCCCTGCGGAGCTGGGGAGGGGCCGCGGGCAGTTGTCCTCGCTCTGCCGCTCTGCCGCTCTGGATTAGGTGTCCCCGAGGTCAGGTTTCCCTCTGCCTTCCTCCTCTTATGCAACAGCAGCGCTGGCACCGGCTGCACTCGGACTTTCCTGGCCTCTCCCTGCTGCCCGCAGCCCCGGGGCGGGATGGATGGGGCAGCTCCCCAGCGCACCCCGCGGTTACTCCCAGCCGGGGGCTGAGGAAGGGATCCCCAGCAGAGCCGTGGGGCGGCCCCGCGCCGCTTCCTCTGCCCACACCTCTCTCCTGTGCAGATTTGCAGCACCGTGCAGCCTTGGCTTCGGCCGCCCGGTGGTCAGCGCTGAGTGGGAGCTGCAGCGCGCGCCCTCCCGCTCCTTCCTCAACCTCGCGGGCTCCTTAACCAACAAACGCAAGGAGTACTCGGAGCGGCGCATCATCGGGTAGGTTGGGGTCCCGCAGCCGACGCCGGGGCCCCCGTTCCCCTCTGAGCGCCCGCTCCGCGCGCAGGTACTCCATGCAGGAGATGTACGACGTGGTCTCCAACGTGGACGACTACAAAACCTTCGTGCCCTGGTGCAAGAAGTCGGTGGTGGTCTCCAAGCGGACGGGGCACATCAAGGCGCAGCTGGAGGTGGGATTCCCGCCCGTCCTGGAGCGCTACACCTCCATCGTCACCCTCATCCGCCCGCACCTCGTCAAGGTGAGCGTGGCCCCTCGCGGCCCCAGCCCCGCCGCCGCCCGGCCCTGATCTCCCGCTCCCCCGCAGGCCGTCTGCTCGGACGGGCGGCTCTTCAACCACCTGGAGACAAACTGGCGTTTCAGCCCCGGCATCCCCGGTTACCCCCGCACCTGCACCGTGGATTTTTCGGTGAGCCCCGATGCCCGGCGGGACGCGGCCCAGCGCCCCCCCGGCTCACGGCGCTCTCCTCCTCAGATCTCCTTCGAGTTCCGTTCCCTGCTGCACTCCCAGTTGGCCACCGTGTTCTTCGACGAGGTCGTCAAGCAGATGGTGGCGGCCTTCGAGCGCCAGGCGGCCAAGAGCTTCGGGCCCGAGACCCGCATCCCGCGGGAGCTCATGTTCCACGAGGTGCACCAGACGTGAGGGCGGCGCTGCGGCTGCGGACTGTGCCAGGCTCAGCCCCGCCCCCCTCTTAAATATTTATTTGAGTGCGTCTTTGCTGCCGTTGCCTGGAATTCCCTCCCGGCCCCGCGGGCGCCAAGCGCTGCTCCTGCAGGGGGCTGCTGGGAGACCCCCGGCCCCGTCGCACCACGGCAGGAGCCGCGGCCCAGCGCCGGACTCCCTCATTTTGTAGCTGATTTTGGTTTTAAGTTTTTGTTTTAGTTTTTTTTTCTTTTTTTTTTTTTTGGGGGGGGGGGGAGATTTTTTTTTTTAAACCCTTCGTTCCTCTTAACTCTGCAAGGCCAGAGGGCTCCAGCTCCTGCGCCCGCGGTGGAGGAACTCCCGGGTCAGCTCTGCCTGCCCCGCAGAGGAGGAAGGTTGGCGCTCGCTGGCGGGGGAGCCCGGCCGGATCCTGCTGGGGAACACAAGCGGTTGGTGGGGGTCTCGCCGCCGGGTCCCCCCGCCCCCGCCCCGACTCTTCAGGAACGGAAGGGAAGAAGGGGCGGAGCGAGGCGGCGGCGGGGCAGAGCTGCCAGCCCCTCGCCTGCAGCCGCCGTGCGCCCGCCCCGCCGCGCAGTTTGCACAAGTCTCACGCACAGCAGGGACGGGGGCCTCGCTCCGACCGGCCCCTGCCCCCCCCCCCCCCCCACCCGTTGCCCCTCGCCACCCCAGGGACCAGCACGGCCCCGGCCCGAGGCGCCCCCCGCTCCCCCTGAGCTTCCCTACCTTCAGCCTGGAGGACCCGGGCTCCAGCAGGCCGTGACACCCGCTGGGGGGCCACAAGGGGCCCCCTGAGCCACCCCCCGGCCCTAGGCTCCCCCACTCAGCCCCCCCCGTTCCATCCCCGTCACGGAGGAGATCGTGGCCTTGCTGTCCAAGGAAGGACTTCTGCGTATGCCAATAAAGAGCATTTCCAAGGGTGAGCCCGGCCTCCCGCTCCTCTCTGGGCAGCCGTGGGGCAGGGAGGGGGGCAAGGGGAGCTGGAGGGGGGGGGGTCTGCACCCAAGACCACCAGGCTCCAGCTGGGTGCCTACAGGGGCAGCCCCAGGTCTGGGTCCAGCACCCAGAGTGTGGCAGGGGGGGGGGGCGGCAGCAGCTTGGGCTTTGTTAATAAAAACATTTATTTTGCATTTTATCGTTGTTTGTACAGAACGGCCCAAAGCCTGCGCCGGGCCGGGGCTGGGCCAACGGGGAGCGGGGGGCCCAGCTCTGGCTCCGGGGGCATCAGACGTGGGGGTCACACAAACACGGGGGGGCGCGGGCTGGGGAGGAGTGTATCGAGGCCTTTCGAGGTGGGGGGGCTGAAACATTCATTCTTCACCAGCTGCCCCAAGGGCTGGACCCCCCCGGGGGGGGGGGGGATGCGGACTGGAGTCTGGGACCGAACCCCTCTCAGGGCGGGGGGAAGTGGTTGCAAAGGGAGGCCCGAATCCGGCCCCCCCCCCCCGGCAGCGGGGAGCTGGGGCTCAGTGTGCGTGGTGCTGCCGGGCCGGGGGCGCAGGAGCCACGAAAGGAGGGGGCCGGGCCCCGTGCCATGGGGAGGAGGGGGCGCAGGGCAGGAGGGGCCCCCAGGGCCGCCCCCCCACAGCCGGAGTGGGGTTCAGTGCCGAGTCCGTCCCGGGCCCGGAGGCGTCGGGGGGAGCAGCGAGCGCAGCCCTGACCCCGTCCCTTTTTACCCGGATTTGTAGCCCACGAGCTGCATCAGCCCCGCAGTGCTCATGGATTTGGGGCGTTCCAGGGGGAATCCCAGCGCCCGGCTCCAGATGAGCTGCGAGAGGACGCCCAGAGCGCGGGACACCCCGAAGAGCACGGTGTAATATTTCATCTCCTTCATGCCGTAGTGCTGCGGGGAAAGCGGCGTCAGGGCAGCGCGGGGGGCGGCCGGGACCCCCAGCAAAGGCACGGGGGGCAGCGGGGCTCACCTGCAGCAGCACCCCGCTGTGTGCGTCCACGTTGGGCCACGGGTTCTTGGCCTTGCCCTGCTCCAGCAGCACGTTGGGGACGATCTTGTAGAGCTGAGCCACCAGCTTGAACAGGGGGTCCTTGGGGAGGTGCTTGAGGGCAAACTCTCTCTGGCACGTGTAGCGCGGGTCCGTCTTCCGCAGCACGGCGTGGCCGTAGCCCGGCACCACCTGGGAGAGCGGTCAGCACCCAACTGCCCCCGGCCCCCCCCGGCCCCCCCCCAGCCCAGCGCTCACCCGGCCCGAATTGAGCGTGTTCCAGATGAAATCCCGCAGCTTCTCATCCGACACGTCCTGGCCCAGCTCCTTCTGCAGGTCTGTGAGCCACAGCAGCACCTCCTGCGGGCACGGCGGGGTCAGAATGGCAGTCAGAATGACAGACAGATGGATGGGGATGGACGGAGGCACACAGATGGACAGACAGACAGGCCGGACGGACACCCACCTGGTTGGCGAGGCCGTGCAGGGGCCCGGCCAGCCCGTTCATAGCAGCAGCGAAGGCGAGGTAGGGGTCAGACAGCGCGCTGCCCACCAGGTGACTGGTGTGGGCGCTGACGTTGCCCCCTTCGTGGTCACTGCGGGGCCGAGGAGCGGCGTCAGGTCCCCACACCCCACACAGGGCCCCCGCAGCCCCACGCCCGTCCCGGCGCTCCCATTGCCCCACACCGCGCTGCCCGGGCGCATCCCACACCCCGAGGCAGAGCAGGGGCGGAGCAGCCCCACACCTGTGGATGGTGAGGTAGAGGCGCATCAGCTCGATGAACTGCGGGTCGGTGTAACCCAGCATGTTGGTGAAGTTGTGCGACCAGTCCAGGTTGGGGTCGATGGCGCCGATGCTGCTGCCCTCACGGTAGAGGTTGCGGTAAATCTTGGCGGCGACGCAGGGCAGTTTGGCAATGAGATCCATGGCGTCCTCATAGACAAACTACAGACGGGGTGAGAGGGAGTGAGGGGGGTCCAGGTGCTGCCCGCCCCCCGCCTCCCGCCCCCCCGTACCTCCCAGTACTTCACACGGTTGATGCCCTCAGCGTAAGCGCGCGCAAATTTGCTCTCGCTGTTGAGAGCGGTGATGGCGGCGCTGAGCTGGGACATGGGGTGCAGGTTGGTGGGGAAGTTGTCCAGCATGGTCACCACGTGGGAAGGCAGCGCCGCTCGCTTGGCCCATTCACGGGACACCCAGCTCACCTGCAGGGAGGGGGCGCTGAGCGGAGGGCTGACAACCCCCAACCCCCTCCTCCCAGCCTGGGGGTCCTGGCGCGTTACCTGCTCTGGGGTGGGCACCTCACCCGTCACCAGCAGCCAGAAGAGCCCCTCAGGCAGCGGCTCCTCACCCCCCGCCGCTTTGGGCAGCAGCTTCTGGCACTCGGGGATGCTGAACCCACGGAAGCGGATCCCCTGGAAGGGAAAACCCAGCAGGAGCGGGCGTCAGCACCGCTGCCCTGTGGGTGCCCGAGTGGGGCAGGGGTGGGGGGCAGCCCCACCTCATCGGGGTCCAGCACTGAGGTCTCGTAGATCAGCCCCTTCATGCCCCGCATCCCGCCGTACACCTGTGGGAGATGGAAGCACAGGGCTCAGTTATGGGCTGGCACAAACCTGTGCCCCCCCCCCCCCGGTGCCCCGCTCACCATATCCACCGTGATCTGCCCGATGGCCGTGCTGCCGTGCTGCTGGCGGAAGCTTTTGATCTTCGCCTGCTCCTTGGGGATCATGGAGGCCAGGACGTCCTTCAGGTTCTGAGGGGGGGGAGGGGGAAGGAAAGAGAACCGTGAGCCCTGCGGTGCTGGGGGGGCACTTAGGGGGGTATCAGGGGGTGAAGCTGTGGGTTGGTGCTTACTGTGGCAGCAGTGGCAGCGTGGCGGGCAGCAAAGAGGACACATGGAGCATTCTGCAAGAGAGCAGAGATGGGGGGTACATGGGGGGGATACATGGGAGGCGGGGGGTCCCACTCTGCAATGGGAAGGGTCCCTCGGTGCCCCCCTCCCTCCCACACAGCCGCTGCACCCACGCGCGGTTCGGCCCCAGCGCAAGTTCCGCCCCCCCCCCCCCCGCACCCCGCGGCGGAAGCACGAGGGGCCGCCGCTGCCGGCCTTTGCGTTCCGCGGGTTTCCGGCCCCGGGGAGCGCCGCGCTCTGATCCCCGGCCCGGAGGGATCCCCGACTCTGCCCCCCCCCCCCCCCCGCACACACCGGCACCGCGCACAGCCCTGCAGCGCTGGGTCCTGGCCAGACCCCCCGGCACATTGCCACCCCCCCCCCCGCGCGCAACGACCGTGACGCTCTTTTTCCACTGCGCCCGGGGGGAACTCAGAGCCGCCCCGATTCCCGCACCCACCCCGCACCCCAGACCCCAACCCGGCACCGGGGGGCTGGCAGCCCCGCCCATTCGCACCGCAGGTTTCAGCGACGCCGCGAACAATAGCGCGGAGCGGAGCCCAAGGTCAGCTCCCCCCCCCTCCCCCCCCCACCGCAACGCGACACCGCACCGTGTGGAACCCCTCGGGCCCTGCACCAGGAATCTGCGGGGCCGCCCCCGCACGGCAGCGCCACGCAGCGCCCCCCCAGCCCCCGCGCAGCTCCCCGCGCAGCCCCGTGTGCTGCACCCCGAACGGCCCCGCGGGGACCCCCCCGCCCGGCCCCGCCCGCCCGCCCGCAGCTGTCACGGCTCCGTCGCCCGCTCAAGGTCACGCGTGAGAGCGGCGCTGCGGGGACGGCGCGGGGCGGTGGCTGCGGGCTCCGGGGGGGGCGTGGGGACCCCGCATCGCCCCCCGTGGATCGCAGCGCCGAACCGTGCGGGACCCGCGCGCGGCGTTTCGCCGCTGCGGCAACGGGAATGCGGGGACGGGGCTGAAGGGGAAGAGGATGAAGGCCGCGCCCGGCTTAGCGCGGGGTCAGCGCGGGCTGAGGGTGCGGTGCGGGCGCTGATTCATTAATTAATTTATTGAACGTGTACGTTGCACGGCGCGGGGCGCCGAAACAACGACCGTCCCACCCCGCACCGCCGCGGCCGTTACGAAACGCAACGCGGGAGCGGAGCTCCGCAAAGCGCCGCCGCTGCGGGGGCGCACCGGGCGCGGCCCCCCCCGGTTTTACCCTGCACCGGGCGCTCCCCCCGCCCCGCCCCGCCGCTCCCCGCGCCGTGCCGGTCCCCGCGCACCACGTGCTGACACCGCCGGTGCCGCTGCGGCCCCGCACCCCCCGGCAGCCCCTTTAAGGCGGCCCCCCCCGCGTCGCCTCTTTAAGAACGCAGCCCCCCCCTCCCCCCCAACCACGGCGTCGCCCCTTTAAGGCACGGCGGGGCCGGGTGCGCTCACCTTGGGCCCGCGGAGGCGCGCGGCCGCTCGGGTGCCGGCAGCGAGGAGCGTCATGGCGGCGCGGGGCGGAGCGGACGGAGCGGGCGCGGGGCCGGGACCGGGACCGGAGTAAACGGCGGCGGCGACGGCGGCGCCCGGGGGTCCTCGGCGCGGCGGGCGGGGCGAGGCGCGGCGCGGCGTACGTTATTAGCATAGCCCCGCCCCTGCCCGTCCCCCTCGGGGCTGAGCCGCTCGCTATTGGCCGTGCTCTCCCCTGATGGGGCGGGATTATGCAAATGAGGCGTCGGGGGGCCGGGCTATAGGTGGCCGCCGCGTTCGCCTGATCTGGGCGTGGGGTGCGGTGATGCGAGCCCCGCCCCGTGGCGTCACCGAAGCATCGTGACATCACGGATCGCTGCGTGACGTCATCCCTCCACATCGCCCCCTCTCACTCTCTCGACGCGTGCCCTCCTTACTGCTCGGCTGTGGCTCAGTGCTGCTCTGTGACCTCAGCTCGCGGCGCTCACCCCACGACACCGCACTGCACTGCGGTGACTTCGGAGGACTCGGCGGGGGGGTGGGGGGGGCACGGTGCCCAATAACCCCGGGCCATTGACCTGGTGACCCCACGGTGGCACCACGCGACAAGTGGGTGGCACACCCGCAGCACCAA